CCCTATTTTAGCTGTGTAAGACTAGAGGGAAGGCAGCTAGTTATCGCCACCCACCGCCAACTCTTGGGCTTCTCTTTAACCAACGAATAGTGGGCTTGACTGTCACATGATGACGCCCCCACGGCTGAAATAGCGAGCATGTTTGTTGAGACGGGGATTCGAACCCACGACCCTCAGATTGCGATTCGAGTGCCTTAACCACCTCGCCATGCCGGGCAGAGCAGTAGACACGTTGATTTAGAATTAAGACAGAACATAAAGTATTAAGTAATAAAGTGTGGAATATTGTTAAAATGTAAGTAACTGTTTTCAACTAGTAATATAATATAGGATGCAGCGAGAATATAAGTTAACGAACATTACATTTTTTTCTTTTTAAACCAACAGCTGCACAAAAATGTTATCCTGGTTAGTAGCTCATACAATCACTTAGTCTAATAACTAATTACTATTTTTTATCAGATATAAGTTATCAGTTAGTATACATCTTACATTTCGACTGAAGGAAATCATATCAAGAATGAAAACAAACCCCAAAAATTAGCAGAAAGGAAATTATTGACGCACAGCCATATTTCTCTGTTTTAAAGGCCTCTATGGAAACATATAGATCATATGTTAAGAACATAAAGTCAGGACAGTATTCAGAACCCAAAACACAATACAATCACAGTTATTAAAAAAAACAAATCACCTCAAGGCTCAGTCAGAACCCACAACACAATACAATCACAGTTACTATATAACAAACAATCTCAAGGCTCAATAGGGAGTAAAAATATCATTTACAACACCTTTTGTGAATATGAACTGCAATCAATACAAGAAAAAAAGTAGAAACAAAGTGTGAATTCAAGAACACACAATGACTAATACTGATCTATCTGCAAAAGTCCATCACGTCAGAGAAGATCATACAATAAATACTTAAACAATTGAAAATGAAACACATACAATAAAAATTAGAAGAAGCGTAACTCAAAACATACTCAGTCAATCTAGCACAGTAGTCAGGAAAACCTGGATTAAAAACCATTAAAATGGTTAGTTGGTTCAAATCCATATGGAGTAAAAGTGTGCACAACCGCCTTTCTAACATGAAGACGCAGTATTGAACCTCGGCAACTACCACTACATACAGTGAAAAATCAGCAGGTTGTTAGCCGAAATATAGGATATAAATGAACAAGTTCGTGATACAAAATAATAACAACTAGTTAGTAATTAAGCTTAGATGATCGCATAAGGTACTCACCATGACAACGATTGTCATTCGATCGCCACGACGTTATGGTACTTCTTCGCTGTCGTACAGCGAAGTTAATAATTAAAATAACTGTTCAGGTAGGATTACATACGTACTTTTGTTTCATTTGTGTGTAAATGCTTGATAAAGAATATAGTTTATATTAAAATTTTGTATTAAACACAACAAAGATGCCTAAAATTTAAGTTGCTAATCTGTTACTTGCAGCTTTTCTTTACTATGACATGCTGTCATTTTTTAGGCTATCCTTGAAATGAAATAACAAAAAAAAAACTTACGACTGATGTCCATCATTAGGCATGAAGTCCATTCGGTCAGCGAAATGGTGTTGTCATGATCAAAATCGCAATGCCTCGTAAACGTTTTAATACAAGGGCGAGGTTCTACGATCTTTTTAGCCATCCGCCGTAGATCACGAACTTCTTTTCGTCTAAGAATGTTATCTCCGTTAGTATCTAGCTGTCGAAATTTCCACTGAATTACCCGTTTGTCTTTAGAGTCTAAAAAACAAAACATGTTTTTGTTCGTTTTTTCCACTAAAATTGATAAGTACTCTAGACATAAAGTCAAAATAGGATTTGTAGCTTTATAAAATACTGTACACACTATTTCCAGCCTAGTTTGTTTAGTTCTTTTAGTCCCTAGATGTAAGCTTGAAAATATAATCTTTGCATTTTGATTCAACTTGTTTCTGTACTTTTTTGGACGATCCCTATTCTCCTTTTAGAATAACAATTTTTAATCATTTTGTTTCTTAATTTTTGTTTATGTCCATTTATTGAAAATAAATTTTAAGATACATATTTGCATATGCATTCAGTTGAATGGTACATGTTTTTCAACAGTTTAATGCTGCATTGACGTTTTTGTACCTGAGGTTTCGTGTAAAGCGAAGTACAAAAATCAGTAGAATAAATCACCACTCACAAGAGTAGAGAAATATACTATGGTAATCGTCTACTGGTAGAAAAATCACTGAAATAGTGGAAGAAAACCACGTGGAGACAAAGTAGAACAGCAAACTCGAGAAACAATGAAGAACAGTGAACTCGAGAAATGAAGAATCCTCAACGTGGCAGTTTCCAATTAATGCGCTAAAGTTGCACAAATTATTTTCCAATTAAAGCGCATTAGTAAAACACCAGATCTTTTTAATGGTTTCAAGACTCAGGAAAATTCTTCAGAGCGAGAAAACAAAGGCGCTTGAATTAATTTTGAAACATACTCGATACTGTATTCATTTACTACTGTCCAGGTTTTAGTAAAACATTCATAGCCGCTTTTCTTGTAGAGGCTTGTAAAACTATAATCAATAATAACAAGGCTGGAGACACTGTTATAAGTATACACATTGTTTATTCTAATAAAACGAAGCATTTCCGACTAATATAATGGTGCTTAAATGACTTCTATATTTCTGCGATGTTCGAATGGTTGCGAAGAGCTGATGTTGGTAGCGAAGAAGAACTTATAAAATTTTAGAGGGTGAAAATCTCGACTTCAAGAATCAACTTAAAAATACCTACTTTCCCGGGAATTTTTTTAGTAGCTGTGCATAGATATTGGCGCAGTATACCTAGTCGTTTTTGCTGTAGGCTTCGGTGCTTTAAATGGCTTCGAGTAGAAACTTGGCCAGTAACAATAAAAAATTTATCAAATCTCTTCTTATCTTTCAAGAATCAACATAAAAATAGTTCTATGACCTGTACAGGAGTTTTTTTAGTAGGTTTACCCAGGTTTGAATAAAATATTCTTAACCATTTTTTCTGTAGGCCTGTGGAACAAGAATAATACGAAGAACAAATGGATGAATTTTGTCTAACAATCGGAAAATCAACTTTATTGATATTATAAATATTTTAGCAACCTTAGCCATCGAGATAGAAGGTCTTGTGTGTTGTTTCAAGAACAAGTTTACTATTTAGGTTGGATTTTGCAAGTATGAAACGACCATAAGCCATGTTTAGGTATAAGTCAGATAACAAAATTATGAATGAAACATGCACTACCTAAAACTGTTTCAATCTAAACAGAAAAACGTTCATATTAAGCGGATTAGATACACTAAAGGTAAAGTAGTATCTCAACAATAAATAAATATAGACATAAAAACGTACAAACAGAGGGCGAAACGCTTGATATGTTCCGTGTTAATAAAAAAATGCTAATATATACTTTTCTATACAATTTGTATTGTATGTAATTACTTTTTTGCAAAGTATTTTATGTATTGTATGTGTTTAAGATAAAATAAAAGTTGTGCAGGTATGGTCCTGCTTTCCTGGGAGTGCCGTGCTACAACTCTGATTTTCAACATTGTAATGATAAATTTCGTCATGATGAGTGTTGAATCAAACACCGTCCCCTTGTCACCATCTTGTGGGAATTTGCTAAAAAAAACTACTACAAGGAAGTTTATAACACACGTGTATCTAATAAAACGAGCTCATAATGTGAGCACCAAAAAAATGTATGCCATAAAGCCCCTATTATATTCGTGAGTGGGGTAAGGAGGAATAATGATTTATGACCATCATAGGCTTAACACCTAAATACCTATCAAGAAACTGGACTGATTAGACGCTTGGTAAGAAAAGAATGAATTTAACAAATTGATATCTCAATAATGAGCAAATTTAGTCATACAAACCTATATACAAGACGGGAACTTAATAATTAAACAAAATAATATCTTAACGGATAAAACTGAATGTTTTCAAAGCAAATTGAAAGACATTTTCTTTCAGATTCCTTATGCATTTACTGAAGTTCATCTCACTTTATAAATACAATTAATACTACCTTCCAATCAGAGCAAGCTACGTACTTAGAGCGAAACTAAAAATCACCCTGGTAATCGATATAGCTAATCAAACATAGTTTGTACTTATAAAGATTAGAAGGAATTGTCTCATCAGTTTGGTACTCTCACTGTTAACGATATTTTCGGCAGTAATGTTTTAGCACCGTTAACATGTTATTCTTGGAACTACTTCCTCCATCGTTGATTGTATCCAATATAACGGGATAAGACAATGTCTATTGTAACAAGCTACTGATAAGGACGGAATGGTCAATCTTAGACCACCTTGATACACGATCCACAGACGTAGATATCTGCTTCCACGGGCGCGTTAAAGGAGACCAAAGGCACAGTATCCATTGGAACTGAATCGGAGTCTTTACACATAAGTGGTTCAATAGAATTTGCTATTGGTAAGAAAACAAAATGCATAAACTAACGATGGTTAACATCCAAGCTGGGCTTTAAGAGGGTAGACATTAAGTCACTAAATGAGAAGAGGTTAAACTGCGTTTACCCTTGATTGCATTACTAAATAGTTGTTATTTCATTTTCTTCGTCCATGTTTCTCATGAATACAGTTATTGATTTCGTGATGTGGCTAAAAACTTGCGATCTTTTGGTTTGTAAGCGTTCGTTAACTTCAAATCTTTGGTTATTATCTCGCCAACATTATTCGGAGATATGACCAGCTTCATTAGATTGGCTTTTTGTTTTTGATTGAATGGTTCTCTCTCATAATCACAGCCGTCACTTTGTGAATACTGCTCGGAGTGGCTTGGAATATGTTTTTGGAGTTTGTTGCTCTCTTGGAATTTTCCTGAAGGCCCTTTTCTTCTAAATATGTTGTCATTTAGTTCTACGTGTTTTAATTTAAGATTCTCATTGTACGAATATTTGTTTCAGATATTTGTTTTATTCTTTTATAAATGTCTTATCCGTGTAGGCACTGCACTGTCCAATGGTCGGGAATTTGCTGCTAAACATTTCACTGATGTAGTTGTTGTAATATATAAAAATATCATAAGTTTCTTTTCTCTATAGTGCTGTAATATCGATTCGAAATTCATTCTTTGTTCTGAATATGTGCAGGTTTCCACATAACACGTGGTCATGAAAATTCGTAAAGTTGATTTTATTTAAAGTTACCTTTGTTTCTTTCTTATTCTCAAAGTCAGGTATCGCTCAATGAGAACACTTCTAGCATGCGACCTTATGTTAAGTTAGTAATGCCCTTCAATGGTTGTTCAGGTAATACCTAGAGGTTAATGTCTGAAGTATGTTTTCTGAGAGTAACTTGTCATATGGTAGCGTCAGTCTAACAGTACAAATACGTTGTTGTATTTTTCAAGTCTAAATCAAAGAGCGCAGGGCAAAGCAAGGTATACAAACCAAATTGAGTTTAGGTAATGTAATGCAAGTTAAAAGGTAAGGTAGGGCTTATATCCTACAGTCAGAACGAGTTCTTAAACTGGTGAACAATTCAACACACTGCGTTTATGTTGAATTTATTAATAAAAAATGTTTATTTTGTTGATTGTCACGTTCTGTTCAGTTTCTTTAGGTCATTTAGCATAGTCTCGGTTAGTAAACGTTTTTAGTATTTTATGTAATTTTGTATCATGAACAAAACTCCTGTTTACCTGACTTATTCGATATAGTCAAAAGTATTTATAATTCAACTGAAAATGCCACAGAGTCACGGCGATACGCAACTGCACTGGCTACAGATCGTTCAAATAAAGTACGATAACCCTCTATATTAGAAAACGACTAGCTGTATTTCTTAAAAGTGAATAAATGAGAAGGTACTTTTAAATATCATTATTGACACTACTGGAATAACCAAACTAGAAATCTTGGGTTAGTTTGATACTACATTTGAAATACATTACAATTATATGGCACTCGTGCCAAAAAAGAGATTAGTCCTTAATTTACACAAACACACACATATACACAGAAATACATTAAAATATGCAATTTAAAAAGTTTTTCTTTGCGAAGCCATCTGATGTTTAATTCTATGTTATCATTAAAACAGATAATTCTGATATTAAAAATCAACAAAATAGAAAATAGAAACTGTTTGCTTAAATTTGTTTGTTTGAACAGTTATTTCAGAACTAATATTAAAACTATGTAATATTAAATTTTAGGTTTAACGCCACATGAGTATATATTTTGTTAAGTATAAATAATTAAGTCATATTGATTCTTTTAATGTAATACAATATATATTTTTGCATGTTTAAACATGTGTAACTGTACTGGTCAGAATTTATAAGGCTATTTAAATTTTAGTGTCTGTTTACTTACGCTTCTTAGAATTAAAAATGTCAAGCTTTTAAGAAATTTCACTCACCCCCGTCGAGAGGGCTCGGTAGCCGCTTGTACTCAGATTTGAAAATATTAACCAAGTTGTTGTTGAAGGTGGTTCTGTCTATGTTACTGCAAACTGGGTGAGAGAAAATATTTAAAGTTAATTCTGTTTTAACACTCATACAGACATGCATTAATTAGTTATAAATAAAATTAGAAACGGTCACGTAATCAGGGCCGCATTAAGAACTTGGAAAGCTTGAGGCAAATTTTGTAGAAGAGTTTATTTGTTTGTAGTTATGTAAAAGTTACACAAAGAAATATCTGCGCTCTGCTCACCATGGGTATCAAAACCCGGTTTCTAGCGTTGTAAGTCGACAGTTGGGGATTGTAGGGGAGTCCTCAAAGCTGAACTTGATAAATATATCAAATGCAATTCAATAAAAATACAAAGGATGGATAGATGATATACAAAATATTAATTCTGATATAAAGTAATGATACCAAATTTCTACAATAAATATATAGAAATGACAATGAATATTTTTGTTCAATGGCCAAGCAAATGTTTATGAAAGAAAGCTGTAAAATCAAGTTAATAAATAATTACAAAATAATAAGTTTATGTGAAACAACTAAAATCACTATTATCATAGCGACACAGTTGCAAACAAATTATTTTCATTGAAACATCCATATATTCTTTTTTTTCATTTTAGTTGGGGGGGGGGCATTCAATCCAGGAGGTTCGGGCCAGTTGCACACATCTACCCTCCCCCCAATCCGGCCTTGGCCATAACCAAAAGAAGAGACTTCTCAAAGATGCTGAAAAGAAACTCGGTATCAGTTTTGAAACGTCAAGCTTACTTTGCAATAATCCAAACTGTAAAAACGAAATCATGAAATAATGTTTCAAATGCATTTTATATTCACTTTTAACACGCTAAGGGGTGTCTTTACCCTACAATTTGTTGAATATTAAAATTAAGTTCAATCCGGAAACTCATAAAGAGGGTTGTTTGGACATATCTTGTCGAGACAAGTTTTCGTTTGTTAATTGATAAATATTTAAGTGAAATACAACATCCTCAAGTTTCCATACTAGCTAGTACTAAGGTCTACCCACTGGGAGTAAATTCAATAAATATCAATAAAGCCACATTCTCAGCATCATTAATTAAGCAATTGCCAACCTTTTATGCTTCTGCTATCACCTTTTTTATGTTTACATTTCAATTGAGATACGAACGATTTCACCTGTGATTCGAAGGTCGAAGCATCACGATATTCAGCAGTAAGATGGGCAGACAGGAACACTTTGAAAGAAGCTACAGGCATAATATTGCACTTGGTTTGCTGTACAATATCTACCAAGGTGGTTCTAGACGGTTCCTGAATATCTCTGCGTGTCAGTTGGAGACTCCCATGCTTCATTTGCTTGGTCGTTGAGCTCGTGATGCACTGACAAATTTCAGTCACCTCACTACTTCAAATCACTTTTCGCAGTCGCAAAGTTAAAAGAGTGCGGAAAATGCCTTCTTTTTAACCAATAAAAATTTCAGTTCAAATTAAGTAAAAACGGATTGGGTAGTGTTTTTGTTTTCAACAAAAAATTTCCCCCACTGGCTGGTGAGGAGCCTCTTAAATCTATAAATTTTAAGTTGATTTAAGATCATAAAATCATTTCAGATCAGCAAAGTTCCCATTCCATAAAAAATATTTGTTTCTTCTTAACTTTAAAAGATCATCATCCGCTCTCTGTCCACAGCAGTCAATCGAACCCTGTATTTTAGCATTGTAAATCCGTAAACTTACCGTTGAATCACCAGGGAACCTTCGAAAATAAAAAATCTAGTTTTATACAATTGTTATCGTGAAACCTTGTATAACTGATCTGGCCCATATGACCCCAACTTTCTATGCATCAAGTAACTTGTGGGTCCATGAATTTGCTGGTTACAAAGTCCCTAATAATATCTAATCAAAAGACTAAGTGTGAAAAAAACGGTGCGGCCAAAAAAGGATTTAGTGTGCGACTTACAGGAATGAAATCAAAATTGGCGGCCAAACTGGTAGCTACACTTATAGCATTGATAAGACTTTTACAGCAAATATTCATTCATTAGTTAGCCAGGTCGCATTTATGTTCAACTTTGGGTATGATGGTGAGTAGAACAAAATAAATCTAATCACGTTGGTGAATATCTGATTTGGTTTTTATGTGAATTTATATGACTGCTTTTTATAAACTGATTTCATATGAAAGGATAGATACGTCTTTTCTGGTAGACCATACCTTTTGTCGTGAGATCACAGAACTTACAGGTATATCACTGTATTGAAAATGTCCACTATGGTATTCATGGTGCTTATTATTCCAGTGAAAGAGTGACGCGACATCAAAGTATTTACTACATTTTCCGTTCTTTATATCGTTCAAGAGCCTGATAGTGTTAACTCTTCCTCCATAGAAATAGTCAAAAACGTCAACACATCATGTTTTTTTCGTTCAGCACTAAAGTAACTAGAGATAATGATCTTTTATACAATATAAATGAATAATCATGCATCATATTAATACCTTTACTCTTGCTATTGTGAATATCTAATTGTCCTAAATATTATAACGTTTACAAATTCTCAATATCTATGTGAGAAGAACCTAGTTTTTACAGTTTCAATATGTGTATTGTGTTGTTATATATCACATGAAATATACCAGTTCTTGTTTTCATTATGTTCAAATATTGTACAACAATAGAACAAGTTCATTCTCAAGTTGAGATCATTGACAACTACATATCTAATGAACAAAGGTCGGTAGGAGAGTCTAACAGAGTAAAAAGAGTACAAGAATTGTATGCTAACTGAAATGTACTACACGTTTGTGAAAGTTAATATAATTACGGTAATCTAGTATTTTATAATTTATGCATGTTACAGTTTGTGCTATTTCTAAATATCAGAGAGTATCGAGCTACCAGTGAAATATGCCCCTTGAAAAAATTGAAGAACACAACCCAAATTGTAAAATGGACGATACGGATATTTCTTTATGTGTCTAAACAAATACAACCTGAAGAAGATAGACTATGTATAAATTTCAGTAAATTATATTTATAAATAATAGTAGTTTTAAACTACAAATAAGTGGGTTCTAGATCAAAAACAGAAAATAACGTCCTAATGTACCTTCATTTCTTGAGAATGTCAGAATATACATTTAGCTTTCTGTACAATTATGTAAAGTGGAAGAATAGATAAATTCGTTTTTACTAACTCTTAAGTTCAGTGACATACAAAATACGTTCTTCATTGTCAGACTTTCACACAAATTATTTTGAATGAAATGTATATTCTGTGATGATTAATAGTACACGTGATGTATTTATAAAATGTGAAATAATCGTCTTTTCTTGTGGTCCATATCTATTATCGTAAAAAACAACAAAATTGAAATATTTTGTCAAGAACTTTTACAGATTTTGTTCTACTTCATGCTCATTACTTGTGATAAATTGTAGATAAGGCCGTCTTTTTCTAACTTGAAGTTTTGTTAACAAATATTTCAGTATGTGTGATACTTGACAAGTCTGCAATTTTACTTGCATATATTGATGATAGCATATAGGCTATAGTGAAACACGTTAGTTTTAAGTGATAGGGGATGGTTCTAATGTCCAAAATTTCAGCACGACGGGGATAGTCCAATTAGTTACAGATTTCAAGTGCATGATATGTTTGCAGAATTTCTAAAATGAACAAAACGTTCTATGGTCATATTACCTTGAATCACTTTGGGTAATGTCCCTTACATCTTGTTTATGGAGATTTGTTCTATTTGATTAATATCATGCTAAAACAAATATATACTGCAGGTATTATTACACTGGGATGTAGTTCAGTATTTTATAAACTAAGATGTTTTTCCAAAGAGTATATCTTGAAGTTTTGTTGATAAATGTTTCAGTATATGTGATATTTATTAACTCTGTGATTTTACATACACACATT